CCAAAGTCCCCACCTCCTAATACCACCATTTTGGGGCTTAGGTTTCAACATATGAATTTGGGGTGGGGGCAGAAACAGCTGGGTAACGCAGCCCCAGCAGACGAATACACTTATTGAATTTCCTACCAGCCTCCACTTACACCAGATTCCGGAGTTAAGGAGTTTTGTCTGTTTCTCCCTCATCTCATGAAATATTTATGGAGTGAATGAATCTGCCTAATTTTTGGCATTGCTATCCTGGGCTCTATTATGTTGTTGTCTCTATTCTTCTGACTGTTTAACATATTTTTTCATTAAAAAGATTTTCAAGTGCCCTAGGATGAATGCCCCCGCAGCGGTCTCAGTGGCCTCCTCCGTGCTCGGTGAGCCAGGATCCCGGTGGGCGCAGGTGGCCCGGCGTGTCCCCGCCTCGGCGGCTGCGTTCAGGGAGGTAAATGCAGCTCGTGATTTCACGTGGGGCGCACCTGGCAGGCGGCCCCAGATGTGCCCACACCTGGCAGCTGGACGTTGGCGGAGCGGTTGGGGAGGGGGCCGTCGCCTGGGGTGGGCCACAGTCACGACCAAATAGCCGCCCCCACCATGTCTCCTGGTGGCTGCCTCCCTGGAAGTTTGCAGGCGACAGAAATAAATCAGAACGATAGAGGAGGAGGAGCAGGATTGTGCCAGCACCACCGTCCTGGCCCCCATCCTTACGCAGGGTGGCGCTGTGTTAAAATGTGCTTCCTGGAATGGTCCCTTGATCCAGTCCCCACGCATGTATTGAGCGCCTACTGTGTGCAGGGCAGTGTTCTAGAAACTGAGACTCAGCAGTGAAGAGGGCAGAAAATAATCACCGCCTTGTCCGAGCTGACACTGTAAGTGGCCAGAATGAGAAGAAACATCACAAATACGTCAATTATATAGCAGGTTAGGTTGCAAAGCGATCTGTGCTCTGGGAGAAAACAGAGCGAGGCCGGGGGGGCCTTGGGACGAGGGGTGCTGGGTTTTAGGGTGTAAACACTGCGACCAAGGATGGTTTCAAGCTACCCCGGGGGAGTCACAGAGCGGGAAACTGGGAAGAGATGGGCAGGGCCACGTCATCATATAGAATTTCCACCATGGAGATGCCGGAGGCGTAAGTCACCTCGAAAACGTAGATAATAGTAACCTGCAGTAAATAATTAGGAGGTGATGAGTTTTCAGTTTTTGTCACCTTTGTTTTTATATATTTGTTACGTTTTAAGTCCATATAAGTTAATTTGCAATACTGGCTAAGTTTAACGTCTGGTTGTCAAAAATCCTGAAAATCTAGCAATCAGCCCTTGTAAGCCAGAACACGCGCTCCAGCAAGGCTGCAGGAGGATGCTGAACAAGACTGAGGTCCTGATGTGCAGCAGGGGGCAGGGACCAGAGAAAGGAAAACTCAACCTGTCTGCCTCTTTACTCCGCTCTGCAGCAGAGCACAGCAGGGAGCTCCACGATATGGGGTCCCCAAATCTCTCTCCGTTTCCATCCCCACTTCGTGTTGCCGGTCTTGCTCCTGGAAGATAGATGAGTCCAAGATAAGCTCCTTTCACTTTCTGGATCTGCCCCCCGCCCCGCCAAGATTCCTCTGCTCTCTTGCCCCGTCAATTCTCCCCCAATCCCATACCAAGTCTACCCTTCCTCCCCCGGCTGGCCCCTAAAATCAGGCAAGTTAGGATCCATTCCCACTGCATGGCAGAAAATCCAAAATTATAGCAGCTTAAAGAAGATAGAAGCTACCACACGGATGGACCTTGAGGACATGACGCTCAGTGACATGAGCCAGACACAAAAGGACAGACCCTGTGTGATCCCCTCACAGGAGGCCCCTAGAGGAGTCACATCCACAGAGACAGAAAGTGGATGGTGGGGCCAGGGGCTGGGAGAGGGGGAGTCAGTGTTTCATGGGGACAGAGTCTCAGTTTGGGAAGATGAGAAAGTTTTGGAGACGGATGGTGGGGATGGTTGCACAACAATGTGAATGTGCTTCATGCCACTCAGCTGTGCACCTAAAAGTGGATGAAATGGTATATTTTATGTTTTGTATATTTTACCCCAATTAGAAAAATAATTAAAGAAAACACACAAATATTTAGCTACCAGCACATGCACTGAAGTGGAGGTTTTAATAGCAGAAGATTACATACATAAAACATGGTATGATTCCGCGTCGTGGAATACTATACAGCCATGAAAAATGCTGTCAGGAAATGCATGTCATTAGAATGCAGCTCCGCCAGGGCAGGAATTTTTGTCTGTCTTGCTCACTATCGCACCCCCGTGTCCAGAGCAGTACCTGGCACCCCGTGGGCAATCAAAAAATGTCCACCAGCAGGAGATTTTCTACATAAAATGTGGTACCTGTTGAAGAAATGGAAAAATAGTCAAGCCAAGTGCAAAAGAGCAGGTAGCATACCACCTGCATTTCCTCGAGCCCCAAGTGACCACTTTTCCATCATTTTGTGTTTCAGGAATCAGAAAAAGCCTGAACTGTCTTTAACTTAAAGCCGCGTGTATGTTTAGGATGGTGTGGGTCTTTGGTTTTTTGTTTTTGCTGTGGAAGAGCTATTATTAAATCAAAGGTGTTCTTTTCCACAACCAAAGGCAGTCAGGAATGGCAGAAATTCAGATATGCGCACAAAAAGGATGGGAGAGAAAAGAAATACTTATAGGTCACCAACAGTTTCGTCTCCGGCTGGGAGACAGTGTGAAGGGTTTTCGTGGTTTTGCTCTCTCGTTTGCTCGTCTGCATTTCCTGATTTGTTTTTTCTTTCTGTAGAGAGCGTATAACATTTGTGCAACAAGAAAGAGAGTAAAAGCCAAGTGCATGCGGTGACATAAAAGATGTCACTGTGTGTCGGGACCTACAGGGCTGTGACTCTGAAGCCAGACAGCCTGGGTTCCAATCCTCACGCCATCGCTTATGAACCGAGAGACTTTCATAGCTGCCTTTGCTTCTAGTCCCCACATTCATGCGTGCTCCCGTTTCTAGAAGAAACTCACCCCACCAAGCCTGTGGGGGGGGATCTGTCCTCGCCCCCTCCCTCCTTCTTCCTCCTTTGTGTGCTTCAAGTCAGGAACTCCATTAACAGGCCCTGAATCCCAGGGAGCCATTTTGGAGTGTGTTCTGGACTAAACATGTGTGTGTCCCCCCAAAATCCGTATGTTAAAGCTCTAACCCCCACGGGATGGTATTAGGAGGTGGGGCCTTTGGGAGATGATTAGGTCACAAGGGTGGGGCCCCCACAATGGGATTCGTGCCCTTATAAGGGGATGAAGGGATCAGAGCTTTCCCTCTCTCCCTCTCTCTATCTCTCTCTCTCTCTCTCTCTCCCTCCCTCTCTCTCTCCCGCCCTCTCTCTCTCTCTCCCTCTCCCCCCCCACCATGTGGGGACACAGGGAGAAGGCAGCTGTGTGCAAACCAGGAAGAGAGCCCTCAACAGAACCTGACCATGTGGGCACCCCGATCTTGAACTTCTAGCCTCCAGCACTGTGAGAAATAAATGTTTGTTGTTTAAGCCACTATGATGGTTAATTTTATGTGTCCACTTGACTGGGCTAAGAGATGCCCGGATAACAGGTAAAACACTATTTCTGGGTGTGTCTGTAGGGTGTTTCTGGAAGAGGCTGGCATTTGGATCAGTAGACTGAGGAAAGAAGGTCGCCCTCCCCACCGGGGGCATCATACACCCCACTGAGGGCCGAAGAGTGAGTTCTCTCTCTTCTTGAGCTGGCACGTCCATCTTTTCCTGCCCTTGGACATCGGAGCTGCGTGTTCTCGGGCCTCTGGACTTGGACTGAATTACATCACCAGCTGTCCCGGGTCTCCAGTTTGCAGATGGCAGATAACGGGACTTCTCAGCCCCCATAACTGCATAAGCTAATTCCTATAATATTTATCTCCTCTTGGGTACTGTTTCTCTGGCGAACCCTGCCTGATACAGCCACCCAGTCTGTGGTATTTGTTACAGCAGCCCGAGCTGACTAATACAGAGTATTTCCCTAAGATTCATGAAGAAGAACGTCTGTGGAGCCGGGGAGGGCACGCAGGTCAAGGAATCATCCGGAAGGACTTGAAGTCTCAGCTGAGACCTGAAGAAGGCCCACGAGGTAGCCAAGTGAAGAGGTGCAGAACAGTGTTCCAGGAAGAGGGAACAGCATACACGAAGGTCGGGAGGTATAAGAGAACACCATGCGTTTCTTGAACATTCTTGGGCATGCCAACATCCTTCAACTTTCCCATAATTCTCAATAAATCTGGGGCAGGCAGAAGCAAAGTGGAGGCGAGAGAGGGTTGGGGTTAAGGCTTCCCCCAGGACCCCATGCTCAGAAGGGCCCCACACTTGGTTTAATGCTCTGCTGTCCCTGTTGGGAAATCCTTCCTCATTTTTGGACGAGGGGTTCCGTATTTTCCTTTTGCGTTGAGCTCTGCAAATTACGTGGCCGCTGCTGCCTGGGTTCGAATCCCACCCCTGCTTTTTAGTTGCCCTAACGTCCTCGCCCCACCGGTTTTCCCGCCTCTCCTGAGCGCCCCCTGCCGGTCGGCGGCTCGGCCACCCCAAGCGCAAATCAGACCCGACCGTTCGCCCCGCTTCGCCTTCGTTCTCGCTTCTGATTGGCTCCGAGTCGCTCGCGAAGCCTTTTGGGGAATGTAGTCCTTTGGCCTGCGCCTGCGTTTCCCATTGGCTCGAGCACTCTGACAGCCACAGGAAGTACGTAACCAAACCTCCCCGCGTCCCACAAGGCATCGCGATGGCATTGCATGACGGGAATAGTAGTCCTCGCGATGCCAGTTTCCACCGCCATCAGCCGCGATCGGAACGGCAGTTCTCACCATGCACCGTGCTCCCAGTTCGCCGCGGCTGGCCCGCTACCTTCTGGGTGTTGTAGTCTTAACATCTCACCGTTCCTTTGCGGCCCTACGGAGTGGGCCGACTCAGAGGACTACATTTCCCGGCACACTCCCCTTCCTCCAGGGCGCCGGGCCGCGGCAGCCATTTTGTTCCGCCCGAGCGGCCCCTGAGATGGCGGCAGGGGAGACGGTGAAGGTTGCCGCCGGGCCCTCCGGGCTCTAGTCCACCGTCTCCCCGCGCCCCGGCGGCCGGCCCATGGCCTGGCGGAGGCCCGCACCATGGACCTCCGCAGCGCCGTGTACAAGGCGGCCCGCGACGGCAAGCTGCAGCTGCTTCAGAAGCTGCTCAGCGGCCGGAGCCGGGAGGAGCTGGAGGAGCTGACGGGCGAGGTGGCGGGCGAGGGGACGCCGCTGCTCATCGCCGCGCGCTACGGCCACCTGGACGTGGTCGAGTACCTGGTGGACCGGTGCGGCGCGAGCGTGGAGGCGGGCGGCTCGGTGCACTTCGATGGCGAGACCATCGAGGGCGCGCCGCCGCTCTGGGCCGCCTCGGCCGCCGGCCACCTGGACGTGGTGCGGAGCCTGCTGCGCCGCGGGGCCTCGGTGAACCGCACCACGCGCACCAACTCGACGCCGCTGCGCGCCGCCTGCTTCGACGGCCACCTGGAGGTGGTGCGCTACCTGGTGGGCGAGCACCAGGCGGACCTGGAGGTGGCCAACCGGCACGGCCACACGTGCCTCATGATCTCCTGCTACAAGGGCCACCGCGAGATCGCGCGCTACCTGCTGGAGCAGGGCGCCCAGGTGAACCGGCGCAGCGCCAAGGGCAACACGGCCCTGCACGACTGCGCCGAGTCCGGCAGCCTGGAGATCCTGCAGCTGCTGCTGGGCTGCAACGCCCGCATGGAGCGCGACGGCTACGGCATGACCCCGCTGCTGGCGGCCAGCGTGACGGGCCACACCAACATCGTGGAGTACCTCATCCAGGAGCAGCCTGCCGGCGAGGAGGCGGCACCGGCGCTCTCGTGCAGCCGCCCCGGAGGCGCACAGCCCCGGCGCAGCCTCGCCTGCAGCAGCCCCTCCCCGGAGGAGCCTCCTAGCGCCGAATCTTACGAGAGCTGCTGCCCCACCAGTCGGGAGGCGGCCGTGGAAGCCTTGGAGTTGCTGGGAGCCACCTACGTGGATAAGAAGCGGGATCTGCTGGGCGCCATGAAACACTGGAGACGCGCCATGGAGCTGCGGCACCAGGGCGGCGAGTATCTGCCCAAACCAGAGCCCGCGCAGCTGGTCCTGGCCTACGACTATTCCAAGGAGGTCAACACCACCGAGGAATTGGAAGCGCTCATCACCGACCCAGACGAGATGCGTATGCAGGCCCTGTTGATCCGCGAGCGCATCCTGGGTCCGTCTCACCCAGACACTTCGTATTACATCCGTTACCGGGGCGCGGTGTACGCGGACTCCGGCAATTTTGAGCGCTGCATCCGGTTGTGGAAGTACGCCCTGGACATGCAGCAGAACAACCTGGAGCCTCTGAGCCCCATGACTGCCAGCAGCTTCCTGTCCTTTGCCGAACTCTTCTCTTATGTGCTCCAGGACCGTGCGGCTGTGGCCAAGGGCGGCCTGGGCACACAAATCGGCTTTGCAGATCTCATGGGGGTGCTGTGTAAAGGGGTGCGGGAAGTGGAGCGGGCCCTGCAGCTGCCCAAGGAGCCCGGAGACTCAGCCCAGTTCACCAAGGCCCTGGCCATCATCCTCCACCTGCTCTATCTGTTGGAGAAAGTAGAATGCACACCCGACCAGGAGCACCTAAAGCACCAGACCGTCTACCGGCTGCTCAAGTGTGCCCCCCGGGGCAAGAACGGCTTCACCCCCTTGCACATGGCCGTGGACAAGGAGACCAAGAACGTGGGCCGCTACCCAGTGGGTATATTCCCCTCCCTCCAGGTGGTCAAGGTCCTGCTCGACTGTGGGGCAGACCCAGACAGCCGGGACTTTGACAACAACACCCCGCTGCACATCGCGGCCCAGAACAACTGTCCGGTGATCATGAACGCCCTGATCGCAGCGGGGGCCCACATGGACGCCACCAATGCCTTCAAGAAGACGGCTTACGAGCTGCTAGATGAGAAGCTGCTGGCCAAAAGTACCATTCAGCCCTTCAACTACATCACCCTGCAGTGCCTTGCGGCCCGCGCCCTGGACAAAAACAAGGTCCCCTACAAGGGCTTCATCCCTGAGGAGCTGGAGGCTTTCATCGAGCTGCACTGACAGGGTCCTGAAGGGGGAAACCGGGAGGGGTGTAGCCCACACTGGTCCTCGCCCTCTCTCGGTGATGTGTCAGGTGGCATAAAACAGGAGAAGGGCTCTCCTGCCTCCACGGCCCTTCCTCTCTGCAGAGAGAGGGAAAGGAGTTAGCAAGCTGTTGGTGCTAGAAGCCTTCAGGATCTCATGCTCGGGAAACTGTCTTTCTCCAGGAGCACGCGCTCATCCTTAATTGGGAGAAGCCGCATGACCTTCCACGCATCCCATCTGCCTGGGTTTTGGAGAATTTTGCCTTCTTACCTAGAGGCAGAGGGATTGAAGCCATTGCCTTCCTCCCCTACTAGAAACGAGAAGAAGCTGAGAATGGAGTCTGTCCTCCTTCGCCCCTTACATGGCTGGATAAACCCAGCCACCGAATGCAGTGTTGGGACTGGGGCCTCCCAAGGTGGAAAGTTGGAGGCTCAAGAAGCCAGACCAGCTCTCACTTCTTCCAGCACCGTTGTGCCCGGCTCTCTCCCTCGTTGCCGTGGTCACAGCCGTGTGGGCAGGGCTCTCTGCCCAGGGCAGCCTGCCACTTACATAGCTTTCAGCTGGTTTGGTGTTCTGTTTACTTGATAAGTGGGCAGGTTACAGGCATTGCACAGGAGTCCTGAGGCCTTGCTGCCATATTTTTCTTTTTAAAGAATTTTGTCAGGTTTAAGCTAATTTCACATAGCGAGGGTTTGTTGTGCCTGAGATGGCTAAAGCCATCAGGAGTGAGCTTTATTGCGTGAAGAATCTGGTGAGGGAGGTACAAGTCCGTAGTACCGGTCCCTAAAACACAGGTGACTACATTTCTTGAAACTTCACCTGGGCCTCCCAACTTCCCATTCTCGTTAGAAAGAGGAGAATTTTTCCAAACAAGGATCAGGCCAAACACCAAAGGAGCCGGGCTTGATGCCAGTTTCCCACAGAGCTAGCATGATTGGTTTGGGGTTTGGTTCGCACAGTCTCTAAGTTAAAACCGCAGGCTGCTTCAGCCTCGCACGTCGCTTACAAGTGCACGGTTTCGCGTTGGCGTATCCAACCCAAGTGGCTGTAGCCACTTTTCTTTAGCTGCTCAAGGACCCGAATCCAGGTCTTCCTGAGAAGAGCCCAAGGACAAGGTTAACTCAATAACTGAGCTAGATGGGACAGCGAATGTGGAGAACAGGGTTTTGACTAAGATGGTACAAGGTCTTGGTTTCCCGTCACTCGGGTATAAAGGGCCCAGGCTGGAGAACCTGTCACGGTGAGATTTCCCCCCGGAGTGATCCTTCGTTGGCCCTGGCAGGCTGCAGGAGACTGTTCTCGGCCTGCTTGGAGAGCCACGAATAGCAGAAGGGGCTGGAGGCAGCTGCCCCCACAGCTCAGGAGGAGGGTCACGTTCAGGACGGCGGCATTCACACCCCACGCCTCTCACACAGCCTCACCGAGTGGCAGCCACCCAGAGGCCCTCTGAGGCCACAGTGGGTCCCCGGATGTCCCGCTGTCGGAGGAAACTAGGTCTCGTTTGGATTTGCAGTGTTAGTTAGGACGTTATTTATTTACAAGACCAGGTTTTACCTCCCATCGAGGCGGGAACGCAGGCACTGTCCCTTCCAAAGCACGGAATAAAGCAATGAGGCGGTTTAAATGGTGAGTTTTGGCGCCGATGTTTAAGTCGTTAAAGAGACGCCATTCAAAGAGAGCGCCTGACAGTTCCTTGCTGGGGTGGGCGGGGGAGAGGGCAGCAAGGGGGCGCTGGCGAGTGTGAGAGGCGGTGGTGCTGGTCCACGGAAGGGACCAGCTCTCGGGCCGCCGTCTCTAACTGGAGGAGTTTGTCTATGTGCTGAGGCTTTGTGTCCAAAAATGCCATATTACTGCATTAAAAAAAAAAAGTGAAAACCACGGACTTAGTCCACACCCTGGTTTTGCAGTAGGGTCACCACGGAAAGGTGGCGGCTTGCCGCTCCTGGAAGGCGAGGAAGGGCTAGGGGAACAGACAGGCGCCCTGACTGAGCCTGGCTCCGGGCGAGACACAGCGTTGGAGCCAGTCGGGCACCCTGGCCCAAGAGGTCTCTCCGTGACCTTGGTGGGTTTCCGGGGGCTGGTTCAGGCTTGAGAGGAAAACCCGGCCCCCTTTTCCTTTGTCCCGCCATCAGGCTTGTGAGATTCTAGTTTTCTTCACTGCAGCACACACTGCTCCCCAGAAGCCCTGGGCGTGTTCCGAGGGGTAAGGATTGAGCCGTTATACCCAAGGCTGATGTTGGAAGGTCTCCACCTCCTGGTTTCACTGGGGACCCAACACCTCTTAACAGCCGACACCCACTCAGCCACAGTGTGAACGGATCCTTGCCTCCAAGGAGTGGAGTTTGAATCAGCAGATGCCCTCAGAGTGGTCTCCCGGGAGACACGTAACACTAGCCAGCATTTATTGAGCCCTTACTGTATGCTGGCACCATTCTGCGTGCTTACATGGGCCGCCTCACTTGCTGCTCACAGCAGCTTGGTAAAATAGGCATTATTATTATCCCTATTTTGTGAGTGGGGAAAACTGAGGCCATTAAGAGGTGTCATGAGACTCACCAAAGAGGAAAACTGATCTGAGCCACATGCTTGCTTTACAAGCTCACACCTGTGAATTGTGGCTTTAGCCTCAGGCTTCCCGGTGAAAGCCATCTTAAAACAAAGCTCGGGTGGGTTTCAAGTGAGGGTTGATCCAGCAGATCAGAACTCTTAAGAACAACCTGGTTCCTGGGGACAGTCCCGAGACAGCAGCCAGCAGAATGGAAGGCATCACTCTCTGCCAGCGCAACTGAGTCCTGAGCTTCCGTCAGATTGGACCAGTCATAGGAGCCCAGGAGAGGGGTGTGCTGATCAGCCCAACCTGGGCCACCTAGGAGGAGGGGTGGGGGAGGAGCCCACCTGCCCAGACATCTGTACCCCAGGTGAAATTGGGGTTGCTGGAAAACGGGGGAATAGATGCCACGGAGGACGGCAGAAACCGCCCCCACGGTGATTAAGTTATTCCCTGCCATTTATCAGTGATGGAGAAGCAAACTCAGAGAGGCCGAGTGAGCTGCCCGAGGCCACACAGCCAGGACGACGCCCCTCGTCGCTGATAGATGAGCAAACCGAGGCTCAGAGAGGGGAAGGGTTTCCCCAGGCTCACCCAGCAGGGAAGCTTCAGGGTCAAGGATGAAACCCAAGCTCGGGGGTGTCAGAGGGCATGCCGCCCAGCCCACCAGTGGGAGCCACCCGCCCCTGCTCACTGTCCGTCCGTGCCCCTTCTGCTGCCACAGCACCAAATCTGGGCCTGAACTTGTGCTCGTTCGCTCATCTGCGTGGTTAATGCCCTTCTCCGAGGGTCTGCGTTGGTCACCGTGAGTGACCCGTGTGTTGAGTGACTGAGTGAGGGAGGGAATGAACGAATGAATGCCGTCCGCCTCAACAGCCCGGGGCAGCAGCAGTGGACACAGCCGGCAGCCCCTGGTGGCCTCACCAGGCTCGGGGCTCCCCACCCCCACCCCCAGGGGACTCCAGGACTGTCATCTGAGCAGTGTTTACGGGGAGTGGAGCGTCCCGGCCTGAGGTTAAAGATAGCACCTCCCGGAGTCACATCTCAGGCCAGAAGGCCAGGTGACCGGCCCGGGGACTGGGGACCGCGGGCACTCGGGGCTGGCCCAGGGGGGCCCTGACTCTGTCCCTGGAGGAACGTTGGGTGAGGTGTGGATTCCTGTGGGTTGAGACAGGGTGGTTCCACCCACTGGTTGTCACAACATGGTTAGGCAAGGGCCAGCCCGGATCAGGCGGCACCACCCCTCTGGTGGGGGCGGGCCACGTCCCCTCCCCTGACCCCGGCACCTGTGTTTCTTGTGAACCTCAGCGATGGCAGGGACATTTGAGATGCCCCAGGGCAGCCCCCTCTCCCTGCCCTGTGCCCTAATGTCCTCTAGTCAAAGCCCATCCAGCAATGAGCTTGAGCAAATGTCGCCTCCTCCGTGAAGCCCTCCCAGATTGTCAGAAGTGCAGCCCCAGCCATCCTCCACCACATCCCCCTCTGTATTTCCTTCTCGACCCCTATAATTATCTTTTTCTTTATTTCCTTGTTTGTCCATCGTGTCCCTTCCCTAGAAGGTCTGCTACACCAGCTCAATCTCTCTTGTCCCCAACACCTAGAAGAAGACCCGACACACAGTAGCCCACTAAGCGTTTGTTGAACGACTAAATGAACTCACGTGGCTCATTCAAAGAGCCAGGAGGCCAGGGTGGCCGGATCAGAGTGAGCGAGGGGAGGGTGGGAGGAGCTGGGGGACACGGGTAGATGGGCCTTTAGGCCCCGGGCGAGCCGTTTGGGTTTATCTTTAGGGCGATGGGCGGCCACCGCAGTTTCAAGCTGAGGAGAGGTGTGAGCCGATTTAAGCTTCGAGACCACTCTGGCTGCTCTGGAGGAATGGACGGGAGGGGACTGGGGTGGGACGTGGAAACGGGAGGCCAGGCAGGTGTCCTGGTGAGCGCTGGCGGGGATGGAGAGATGTGGACTGGTCTCAGATCCACTTCGGAGGCCGGCAGGCCAGACTGTGGATGATTTAGGGGTGGAGAACGGGGAGCGAGAGGGCTCAAAGATGGTCTCCTGGGGTTTGGGCCAGAGCCAGTAGATAGAAGGACGGTGGGCCATTTAATGGGCTGGGGAGACACGGAGCAGCGCTGGGGACCCGAGGTGGCTCTGGGGCCTCGTGGGAGCCCCACCGTGGCTGCCTCCCTCACCACCATGTACCCAGCACCTGGGAAAATGCCTGGCACATAGTAGGCGCTCAATCAACGTCTGTGACTGATAGAAGGCTTAGCGTTGGCTTCCAAAGGGCCTCAAACTCAGATGTGACTCGGGGCAGGCAGGGAACCCAGGCAGGTAGAAGAAATCACAAAAACTAAAAAATATTTGGGAGTGAGGCGCAAACACAACACAGGAAACGCACGCAGCTGCGGCTGTGCGTAGAAATGCGTGGGTTTAAATGTTGACGCGAGAAGAGGAGAAAAAGAGGAAATCCACGCTCTCAGGCAAGTCTGCAAACTGCGGCCCGCGGGCCAGACCCAGCCCCCTTTGTGTAAGTAAAGTTTTATTGGCACAGCCACGCTCAGCGTTGGCGCCT